CCGCGTGTGGCTTTCTAGTAGACCGGATACGGTCCTCTGCTATAATAGAGAGAACATTCCATTTGATGCGTATGTAGCCACAGGTAGGAATGCGCAACGGCGGTTTCCCAATGCCGGGTGGCGTCCACAGCGGTTCGCGAGAGGCATTTGCTATCCTGTGTAGGGGAGTGTGGGACAATGTATGTAGATGTGACGTTGCTGGACAAGACTGCACAACGAATCGTTACAAAAATGCAGTGTGGGCCTCCTGAACTTAACTATTACGGGGCACCAGCTAAGTCCTCCCACACCAGTGGGGCCTAGGGCAGGACTGGCTCTACAGTCAGTGTGTCTCTTCATATCCAATCTTCAACCTCTGCTTTCCCTGCAAAGCTAAAGAGGGTCTTAAGCTTATAGACACGCAGATGAGACAGTACGTGAAACGAACGGCCTGCCTGCTACTGCAAAACGTGATTGCACCTGTTAACTACGTGAAGATATCGCCGACCAGGATGCTAACGCCGGCTGGTACCATAAATGCAAACGGACGCTCTAACTCCTCTTGAAACTTCTGGGGCTACCGTGCACTCCAGCGCTCCTATCCAAAGTACTGGGCTGCCATGGAACTGGTGAGGATTTCCCCCACCAGTGAACGCCACGTTTTGTATTGGAAGACGTTGCTGGGACAGACTACTAACTTCCACAAGAAGCTAAACTTCATCCTGCCATGGGCATTAAGCAGATTGCTATTTGCTATTCCTTTGGTCCGTGTATCTCTGCTGGCTTCGCTGGCAAGCGGCGGCTGACCTTACAAGGGTAGTTCAGTACAAATTAAAACAGAAAGCAGGACGAGGCTGGTACGGCCTCGTGTTCTACGCAGCCAGAAAGGGCGAATGGCTGCGCTAGGCTTGGTAGGGTCTCACAGCTGAACGTCACGAGTGAGGCTGGGGAGAGGACACACGTGCCGTTCGTTCCAACACGAGCCCCCACACGCCTCACTGTTGGAGCCCCAAGCCGAGTAGGACATACTGGAGTCGTCCGCTCACAGCACTAAACTGTGCAGAGGCAAACGGAGCTTTATTTCGTTCAGTTTGTCTCGTTAACGACGCCGCACCCCGCCCCTCCTGACCCCCCTTCCTCGTCCTCGCCCAGCGACGAAGGCGAAGGGATTGCTGCCTGAGCCAAATATGCACGGAAATGTGAAATAGCTGTCACCACACAACCCAAGCTGCTTGAAGCGCGTGCCAGTTACTACACTTGGAAGAACTCAACTAGAGTCCCACGCAATGCACTGCAAAACGCCTCACCTGCGTCAGTGACGTCTGGAACCTTCGTGGGGCCAAATTCTGCCAATCCAAGACCTAGTCCGTCAGCTGCTGGCTGTTGCTGCTGCGCTTGCTGCTGCAGCTGTGGCTGCTGGGAATACTGCTGATGTTGCTGGACCTGCGGAGGCTGAAACACTGACCCCTGCACGTCCATCTGCTGCTGCAGAGGCGGTTGCTGCCCCACTGACGGGGTCTGGGGAGCAAAAGACGGCTGCTGTTGCTGCTGGAAACCTATCCTCTGTGGTGGAGTTGCCGAGATGGCTGGGAAGGCAGCTGTCAATGACGGTGCAGCTCCAGAGGCCCCATTCGCTCTGCGAATGCGCAACTTGGGCCGGCCTGGCAAAGCACCCAGTTCCCCAAGGCCGGAAGTATTACCTGCGGTGCCCTGCAGCTTTTGCCCATGTAGCTTCTCCTGTTGAAGCTGTGGCTGCTGCGTCTGTGGCCCTACCTGCTCCTGTGGTTGATGTGACTGCATTTGCTGCAGGTCCGCAAGCGCGTGCTGCGGCAATTGCTGGTCAGACTCAGCTGGCCTCATGGTTCCGAACAGTGCAGTACTGCCCGCAGTAGTACGAACTGCAGCTTCTGCTGCAATTCTGGCCTGCGGGAGCGTATTTTGAGGCCCCTCTGTTGGTAGTCTAGTTGAAGTAACAGCTGCAGCAGCTATCGCAGCCTGCGACGCATCTGCTTGTGCTTTGGCACGTGTTGCCACCTCTTCGGCTTCTTGTGCTGCCTTTGCTCGAGCGGCTGCTGCCTCTGCTGCAGCGGCAGCAGCTGTTCTTTCCCGTGCAGCTGCTTCTGCCGCAGCAGCTGCTGCTGCGGCTTCTTCTGCCGCTTTCTGCTGTTGCATGCGCAACTCGCGCGTCTCCTCTGCAGTAAGTGCAGTGCCCAACACGTCAAGTAAGGCGGCATCTGCTGATGACGCATTCGGCTGTAGCATTAGCAGCAGTCTAGCGCTGCATTCTCCCCCTCTTTTCCTCTTCCTGTGGCTACTGAAGTCTATCTCCTCCACTCGTGCAACACTTCCCATGTGGTGCAGGCCTGGCTGTCGCAGCACCTCGCGTTCACTACTCCTGCCATTGGAATGAATACAAGCACTTGCAGGAATGACAGCGGCTGCCTGCACAGTGGGCAAGGCGCCCCATGTGGTGCAGGCCTGGCTGTCGCAGCACCTCGCGTTCACTACTCCTGCCATTGGAATGAATACAAGCACTTGCAGGAATGACAGCGGCTGCCTGCACAGTGGGCAAGGCGCATGCCGACTCATTTCGTTCCACCGAATAACGACGGCGTTTACTGCATTGGAGTAAGTTCTCGGTGTCCTCCGTCTGTTGCTGCTGCTGTTGCGGCCGGAAAGCGAGCCACTGTTGCGTTACTTGCCCCTCACGCTGCGGTTGATGCAGGCGAACTGGCGCCAAGAAGATCGACGGTGAATTCAGCTGCTGCTTTTCTCCCTCAGCTAGCACGGCGGAGTTTGAAGAGTTGGAAAGCTCACCAACTCCTACTCCTACCGCCTCCCTTGAATCAGTACCAACAGGATAATCAGCAGCTTCTGCCGTTACAGCAGCTCCCTCCTCAGTGTGGAAAGAAACAGAATTTACAGTTGGGGGAGCCACGCGGCTGCTGGCTAGAAGAGGAGAAGAGGAGGCGGGAGGAGGGACCAGCGGCATCCTTATGTCTTCATCTGGTGCTTCTCGTTGCAGTCCGTGCTGCTGTTGCCGCCGCTGCAGCTGCCCCTTCTCTTCAAGCAGATCCTGCTGCACCCACCGGAACTGATGCTTTTTCTGATGGTACTGCAAAGCTCTTCCCTGGCAGCGCCGGCTCTGCAGAGGGGCCCTCGAAATCCTGTAGCTCTGTGGCGCCCTATCTTTTGATGCAGCGCCATTTGCACAATTTTTCGTTAGGAAATGCGTTCCAACGGCAGCGGCTGTTGCAGCTTGTGTACACGGATGCAGGTGCTGCTCTTGGTGCGGTTCTCGGTGCAGAAGGGAGCTGCCACAGTCGGTAGACATATAACGCCGCCTCAGCGGTAATCGATCCAGGAGCAACCCACACTCCTTTGCCGGAGGTAGGCTACTTGTGCTTGTGCTGTGTTGCTGCCTGTTGTTGGCAATGCTTCTTAATAGCAAAGGAGAACCATGGTCATTGCTCCCAGACATTTGCACAGGAGCCAGCCGCTGCAACAGCTGCTGTTCCAGCTTCTTCGGTTGCTTCTGTTGTTGTCCAGGCTGTTGCTGCTGGTGCTGACCGGCAGCACTACCCTGCGCAACGGCTGCAACAGGCATGGACGGTGTGGGGAGTTCTCTGAGCGGAGACGAAAGAGGTGTGAAGAAGTCAAGATCGCTGTCGCCGTCACTCCCGCTGCCTCCGCAGTTCTTATCCTGCGCTGCAGCGCTTGCAGCAGCAGCTGCTGCTGCAAGCTGCATCGGCTTCAACGGGGGGAGTGGGGCAATGGGAGTGGCAGATGGACTACCAAGGCGCGGAGCACCAACAACTGCGACGATGTGGGAACCGTCCAGAGCCAAAGCCTCCACAGCCGCAGAATCGTTGCAATCGTTGTCTACGATTCGGTCTGACGAACTACTGCAGCTTACCCTGCAAGAGGCGGCTCCTGTCCCACCAGTCTCCCACTGCTGCCGCTGTTGGGATCTGCGGCTGTTGCTGGTATGGCTTGAGCCCGCAGCCGTACACGCCCCTAGATCCGTCCCACGTGAACTGCTCGCGAAGCAACCGACCCATGCTCCGTCTTCTGTGCTGCTGCACGGCATCTTTCAGCAGGAGTACCTCTACGTGCTGCAGTGCATATCGCTCTACCTAGCGCCTGTGGGTCCCTGGCAGAGGCATTCCGCCTTGAATACCAGCTTATTCCTGGGACACTTGGCTAGCCCAGCCCGACCCAAAAAACAGCAGAACTTCCGGTTCCGGAACATGCAACTGAGCCCTAGGGAGAGCGAAGCTTCTCCTAGGGAGTTACCGTTGCTCCTGTCAGCTTTGCCCCCGGCAGTGATGGGAATGCAGTGCCTGCTCTAGGACTAGGCTTGGCGCAGCACCAACAACTAGGCAGTTCACTGCAATGGTGATGTCAGGGACAAGGGGTACCTTGCTGAGCAATCGCCTGAGTGGCCAACGGCTTGTCCGACGGCCGCGGTTGTATTCACAGTCCGAGGAGAGGCATGGTCAGGGACTGAACTGGGTGAGAAACGCATCCATGCATAAAAACAACTAAGAGAATAAGAAGGTTGCAAAGTAGCTGCCAGATTTACTAGCTCAACCACCAGCATGCCTTTGACGCAGCACGAGCTACAACGACAGGAATCGACTTCATCACTCGAGCAGAGCATGTGGAGTCTACTAGACCTCGGGGGGATAAAGCTTCCCAGAAGACCTTTTCTGGAGGGTGAAAGTATTAGAAAACAGCAGAAGGCTGCAGTAACGTGCGCCAGGCCGCCAAGGCAAACAAGTAGCTGCAGCAGCAGCTGCTGCAGTTGCTCACGCTGCTGCATGCAGCTCTTGCTATTTCTTATCTACTTTCACAAGGTTCACGAGCGCTGTTCTTCTGCTTCGTTCCAAAAAGATGGGTTGATACGAATTTGGCGAAACCTAACGGGAAGTTCGCACCATGTTGTCCTCGGGTCGCACCTGAACCTCGTTGCCGCTACAATTCAGTGGCTGTGCGGCCATATCTGGTTGCAACCAGCGGTATGGAACAGGCGCACCACTAGCAGACGTGACTTAATGTGCATTAGGGGAGTTCATACTTGACCTCTTATGGCTGTGACATAGACAGGGAACTCGTTACACTTTCTCTTGGAGAAAGCAGAAACCTGCAGCCTCAATGGAGACAGCCCTCGGTTTTAGGGGAGGACATCTGTGGGCTACAAACGAGTCAGAATACTCGAAGTGTAAGTTCTTCAATAGAAGCTGATCTCCACCCTGGACTCCAGGCCTCCTGGTGGCAATGGCGCAAGATCGTCCCTGAGTCAGTAGGGCGTGGGTTTGGGTTTCAGCACACCGTGCCGCAGCTTCTGTTGCAAGGCAATCCCGCATAAACGCTTACCCAAGCCCCCGTTTGATATGTGCGCTAATGCTGCTTGAAAGTGTTTAGCACTTGTATAATCCTTGTGTGGCCAACTGGCATGCACATTGAGATACATGTACGAACACCGGGCAGCTGAAGCTACAATCCGCTGTAGAGTGGAACTTCCATGAAGTGCAACAATCAAAACGTTGAAGATAATATTTCTCCAAAAGTAGGATGGCCTTCCTTCTTCTGTACAAAGGTCGTGACCACAGCAGCAGTTCCTCGGGCTGGAAAGGAGA